TCTTGATGTACTGCAGGCATTACTTTGGCCATGCTAAATAAAGCTGTAATAGCTGGCACTGCAGGATGTTTGCACGTTGCTAGCATCCGGCGGCCTGATCTGTAGGTGGAGGGTGGAGGAAGTTTGATATGCAAATGACTTCTCTGTTGGGTCAATCTGGAGGATATAAATATTGACAGAATTGTATCAAACAGTTCACTACAAAATCACCCTCTCCAAAGAAAAATGGAATTATTTTACGGTCTGACATTAATAGCAGGAATTCTACTTGCTTTTTTATTATCGGTTTTAATTGAAGCCTCTTATCATTCCTTCAAGGCAAAAATTCCTCCTGAAGTTGACCAGCCATCAAAGCTCAGCTTCTATAATTGGCTTTTTACTATGGTTGAAATTCTGGTGAGTTTATCGTGCTCTGTGATATTGTGATTTTCAGGAAAGGGAAAACGTGAGTAGAACTATGAACATAGCATTTAAATATTGCAGCTGTGTGTAATGGGAATTGTATGGTGACGCAAGTTTGGTATTTTAATACTGTCCATAAAAGCTGCCTACATGAGGTGACATCTTTTAAATGCTGAGATTTGTATATTTACACTGCAATTGTAACTTGATTGCCTTTTGTGATGAAATGATCGGTCCAGTGAAAAACAGAAGGGCTGAAGACCCGATAAATGAACCTTCTGTATCCCAGGGCACTCTGATCTATTTGAGGTAATTTCCTAAATTTTTATCTATCTGTAGTAATTGTCGTACTCATGATTCTGTTCTTATTTCTGCAGTGACTAAACTGCTGTGTCTTAATGAGTTAATACAGAATCATGTATACTGGAGGTAATCTAATCATAGAATCATAGAATCCCTAGAGTTGGAAGGGACCCTAAAGGCCATCTAGTCCAACCCCCTGCTATGAGCAGGGACACCCACAGCTCCATCAGGTGCTCAGAGCCCCATTCCGTGTCCTTGGGTGTCTGCAAGGATGGAGCACCACTACCTCTCTGGGCAACCTGTGCCAGTGCCTCACTGTAAAAGACTTTTTCCTTAAATCCAACCTAAATCTCCCTTCTTTAGTTGGAAACCATTTCCTTTCAACACAGATACTGATGAAGTGTCTGTCCCCTCGTTTCTTACTGCCCCTTTAGATACCAGTAGGCAGCTCTCAGCTCTCCGCAGAGCCTTCCCATCTCCAGGCTGCACAGCCCCCAGCTCTCAGCCTGCCCTTGTAGGAGAGGTGTTCCATACCTGAATCATTTTTGCGGCCCTAATCTAACCTCCTGATCAAAGAAAGTTCAGTCACAAGAGCTGTTACTACTTCTTATTTATTTACTTGTAAACTAGACTGTGCTATATGTGCTGCCAGCAGAGTAAGAAACAGCTCTTGCCCAAGACATTTTCAAAGAATACAAGACAAGATCAGACTAAGCCTTATCACGTTTGGCAGATATCATTATGCCTGGACTTGATTTATGGTCAGACGTGGTGATCTTACAGGTCTCTTCCAACCTAAAATCTTCCAACCTTCCATGATTCTGTATCAAATGGAAGTCTGTAGGAAAAAGAGTGATTTCATGATTTCATTATTGTTTGTAAGGGGTTCATCTCAAGCAGCAGTGTTCTGTCATCCTCAAATTATATGTAATGTACAGTAATCCTGAAAAGTCACTTTGGGTGATACAAAGACTTACATGGGTTGCTTAAACCTACATGCTTTCACCAAACCAGGTCTCTCATCCTCCAATGGCTTATGCCATGTGTACCTATCTACACTGCCTGGTGTGAAGGAAGAGTTGCTGTCCTTACATATTTCAGACTGCTCCTCATGTTAAGCTATATATAAACATAATACAATTAAATGACTGAATGTTATTAGGTCCTCTATGTTTCCGTACTTGGTTTGATGAAAGGATTCTTTCAGATGACTCTCTTTTCCGAAGCTGCTTCTACAAGCTGGTTTCAGCTGGGACAGGGTTGATTTTCTTCACAGTGTCTGGTATGATGCTATGCTTTGGCTTTAGAAGAACAATGTTGACAGCACATCAATGTTTTAGCTGTTGCTGAGCAGTGCTGCACAGAGCCAAGGATGTTTCAGTTTTTCAGCTTCTCATTCTGTCCTGCCAGTGAGGCAGCTGGGGGTCCCACGGAGCTGGGAGGGGACAGAACCAGAGAAGCTGCCCCAAATTGGCCAAAGGGGTTTTCCATACCCTATGATGTAGTGAGAAAAGCTATAAAACTGAAGGGAGCTGACCTGGGGGGCAGCTGTTGTTTGGGTTCTGGCTGGGCATCGGCCAACGTGTGGTGAGGAACTGCTTTGTGCATCCCTTGTCCCACTCCTGCTGTCCTTTGAAGGCCACTAACTCTGACCCATTTGGCAGGCAGTCGTGCCAATGTGTGAGTTGCTTCACTATGCAACAACTGGGTTATAATGTAAAGTTTAACTTTGCTCCACATTGGGAAAGAAACTCACTAATCTGTATGATGAAAGCTTATTCAAAGTTTACGCTGTTATTCTCAATTATTCCTCAAACCACCCATTTCGATATATTTTACTCTTCCACTTTCTAGAGAAAAGTGGGGAAAAAAAGGCTTCCATTTGCACCAGATAAGGTTTAGATCAGATAGCAGGAAGAACTGCATCACAGAACGGGTGGTTGGGCATTGGAATGAGCTGCCCAGGGAGGTGCTGGGGTCCCTGGAGGTAATGAGGAGCAGTGTGGATGTGGCACTAACACACATGGGTTAGTGATTGACCTGGTGTGGTTTCTTACAAAGCACATAGTGCTTTGTGCATTGTGCATGTGCAGTGAGAATATCCTGCTGGTTCTGATGAATGTTGCTGTTGTTGTGCCAGTGACATCTCCTTCTGTGCTCTCTGCCATGTACGTTGCAAGGAAGGCCTCTTTTTTATTGTAGCATAGCACAGTCTTCTGCCTTTTTGTTGAACTTATTTGAGGCACCTCTTAGATGGATCAGCATTTAAGCATCTACTGGAACAGAGGTGTCACACATATGATGCTCCAGCTGCTCCTGTGTACGTGCTTTCTTGAAGAAATTAATGAAAATCTCAAAGAGAAAAGATGGGAGAAAGCCTACCAGCTCACAACATAGCTTCTGTGTTAATCCATTCCTACAGATCTGCATTCAGATCTGTGCATATCACACTGTGATATAAAGCTCTGATAATTATTTTGGTTGGCAAAGCATAATGCTTCAAGATGAGTAAGAGAGAGTGACTGTCAAAAGGACTCTCCAAGTCCATGATGGACAAACTGAGTGTTCTTTCCCATTTCATATGTGATTTCTTACTTAGTTGAAAAGTAAAAATCTGGTCATTGTGTGATGTTCAATGTACAGAGAAGCCTGTGGCAGAATCTAGGCATTTGAGCAAACAGTTTTTCAAATTACTGCATGCTGGTTTGGGTTCTCCTTTTCTTATACAAACACACATTTTAGAACCTGGCTTACATGATATGTTCACCTACTAATACAATCATAGATATCTGGAAATAGCCATAACTCCTCTATTTTGAGTGGACTGTTACTGTTTCTGAAGTATTTTGTAATTATTGATCAAGAAAAAGTTTTTCAGTGCAAAATTGAATAACATACCAAATTCCCCATTCTTCTTTATGGCAGTTCTTTTCCTTAAAATTGAAGATGTGTCTGTGATGCCAGGAGCTCCTAGGATAAGGAAAAGAAAGAGGATATTTACATAGAATGTTCTGATACCATGTTTATCATATATATTGTTAATACTTGTCACTTGAAGGCTCTGCTAAAAAAAACACAGGGATGTTAGAAAGTGCAGGTGAGATTAAATAAACACAGAGCAGCAATGTGTTAACTTCAACATCCCAACATTGTCACTTCAACAAAAAACAAAGAAAAAGCAGAAGTCAGAAACATTAGGTTACAAAAGCACAGTGGCCATTAGTTGATGAGGCACTGATACAGTACATACATGCATAATTCTGCTGCTCAGAACAGAACAACACAATTTGCAAATTGCTTGTTATGATTACCATCATTCCGTTTGTAATTAAGTCATCATTTAATAGGAAAAGAAGTATTGTCCCTGGCAGGAAATGCATCACTTAGAAACCATTCTCAAAATAAAGGGGGATTCCAGTGTGATCCTCAGGTTATCTATCTCAATTATCAGTAATTGAATGCCTTTGGATAAGAAGACATTTTACTTAACAAACATACTTTGTTTTCCCCGCTGGATTTAAGAAACTGAAGAGCCATTTCCTGAATCCCGGTGGGATCTCGATAAAGGTTTCACAGATGGAGGAGATATGGCTCAGAACCATTCTCACCAAGGTCTTTGGAGCAGCATTTCATTACTGATTACAAGCATCACTGACTTTCTAAAACCTTGTTGTCACTGATCCTGCGGCTGGAGGTGATCAAAGACCACTCAGTTACTGTCACGGCTGGGACATTTTTATCTCACCTTACCTTCAGTCCTTCAGCTGAGCCATCTGGAGTGGACAGTCTCCCTTTACAATAAATGGTGATGAGCAGCCATTTCCAGAGCATAGCTTAATATACCTGAAGTTGGAACTGTCCTCTAGAGATGTCTTTCTCTTCACAGACAAGAAAAGGAGGCTTAGACCTCATGACACCTACACTGCATACATACACAAATTGCTGACGTGTGGCAAAACTAGATTACAGAAATAAGAAGGGATTTAAAGGGGACATTCAGTGGAAGAAGTATTGCAACATTCTTCTGAAAACAACATTATCTCAATCCACAAAGATGTACATTTCCATTTCACAACTGAAATCACCGAGCTTTTTAAATGAAAATCCTGTACAGTAGCAAACACCCAATGCAATTCTCCTAAACATAACACAGAGAAAGGCCTCTTCTGGCCTTCTGTGGTCCCAACAGAGTGGAAGGGCTTGGATTTTCTATTCTAATTTCTTATTTTTTCTGTTATATCCAGGCAAATAAATCAGCGAGTTTGGGGATCTGCAAGAAGCACGTACTTATCAGGATGTTTTCTAACGGACTGAGGGCATGGAGGGCTTCAGAGCTCCTCATAAAGGATCTGCACTTTGGTGAGGTGCCAGTGAGGATCTACCTCCCCAGATCACCATCTGCCAGCAAACGGAGGGGAGTCGTCTTGTTCCATGGAGGATGTGGGATGTACGGAAGCATAAGTAAGGAACTGAAAGAGAAAATGCAATATTTATCATTATTTTTTACACACGCTCATTAATGATATATTTTTAAAAATTGTTTTGAACCTAAGAAGTGACAGAGGCTTAGCTTGGGCTACAGAGAGACATAACACGATGCTTGGTTTTACTTTTTCAGTTCTTTAATCTGCCCTTGTTGAATATCTAAATTATTCTTGGGAGGATACAGCCCTATTTATGGCATTTATATCCCTTACAACAAGTGGTGCTGCTAAGTGAATGCATCTGTTTCGGTCTGAAAACGTGACAGAAGTTATTAACTCCTGCATTCCTCCATTGGATCCCTTCCCCAGTGGCATACAGCTCCTGTGTGCCCCAGGTCCTTTAATTAGCTTGACTTTTTTCAGTTTAATTGATTAGAGAAAGCAGATAATTGCAAACTTAATCAAAGAAGCTCCAAAAGATACAAACACATATTAAAAGGTGTTAGGATTCTGAAATTTAAGGTGGAATGTATTATTGAGCAAATGGCAACAAGCCAAGTCTTTTAAATGTAATAAAAACTGAACTAAAGTAGAAGAAAAGCCCAGCGCATCTTTAAATACATTGTAAGAGGCATAATCCTGCCCACTAACTTACAGTGGAATGGTTTTATAACTCGTTAATGAGATTGTCATGTGGTCATCTCTGCACACCTCAACTGAGGTGTTACGCCACCAAGAAAGAAGGGAGGATATTGCTGCAAGTACTCAAAGACATTAACTGCATTCATGTTTGTTCTTCAGAAAGCCATGAAAGAATATGCCAGCACATAGCCAAAAAGTCTGATTCCGTGGTGGTGTCAGTTGGGTAAGTTGAGCTTGAAAAAACTGAGCTCTAGGAAAGTCTGTCCTTACACAGACATGTGCAAGCCAGCATGTGCATGACAACAAATACTGACTTGAGTTTATCAATAACAAAAGCAATTATTAGGATGTTTAACTTATTAATCCATAGGTTTAATTAAGTGGAAAGTAGAAACAATGCACTTCAGCCAACAGAGGAGGGTTAACAGGCATAGCTTGGAGAAGAGAAGGCTCTGGGAAGACCTCGTAATGGCCTGCCAGTACTTGAAGGGAGCATATAAACAGGAGGGAACAGCTGTTTATGAGGGTGGATGGTGACAGGACAAGGGGAAATGGTTTAAACTGAGACAGGGGAGGTTTAGGTTGGATATTAGGAGGAAGTTTTTCCCCCAGAGGGTGGTAAGGCACTGTTACAGGTTGCCCAAGGAGGCTCTGGATGCCCCATCCCTGCAGGCATTCAAGGCCAGGCTGGATGTGGCTCTGGGCAGCCTGGGCTGCTGGTTGGTGACCTGCACACAGCAGGGGGATGGAACTGGATGAGCACTGTGCTCCTTTGCAACCCAGGCCATTCTGTGATTCTATGAACAGAGAAAGCCTGCATTGCTGCCTCAGTTGTATTTCTCTTTTCCTTACTCAACTAATATTCTCCAGAAAGATCACAAATGCAGAGAATAAAGAGCCATGGCCATGGAGGTGCATCTTGCTCTCATTCACTTTGACCTGACTTTCTTTCATCTAAGAAAGTACGTTGTTGGTTAAGAACTAAACAAAGAGAGCCTTATGTTGTCATCGCTCCCCTGCAATCCATTTGTCCCAGTTAACAAAATAAATGAAATAATTGTCTGCAGGAAGCTATTTCATCACCACTGTACATTTACTGCATGGTGTTTTATAACACAGTGTCATTAAATTACTGTTATTATATTAAAGCGTAATAATAACACACAAAACCTCACTCATATATAATAATAAAATACCGACAAGGTGATAATATAAAATATAATGGTAAAGGTAATGATCAGTGTCCTCAGGATCCAAGAATCAGCTGGACCTTTGGGTATGCAGGATGTACATCCACGGTACCCACAGTCAGTGCAAAGGGGAGAATCAATGTCATTTAGCTGGACTTGAGCAAAGCCTCTGACATGGTCCCCCACCACATCCTTATCTCCAAATTGGAGGGGTGTGGATGTGATGGGTGAACCACTCGATGGATAAGAAACTGGTTGAAAGGCTGCAGACAGAGGGTGGTCAGCAATGGCTCTGTGTTCAGGTGGAGGCTGGTAGCGAGCAGGGCTCTGTCTTGGGACCGGTGCTTTAACATCTTTATCAATGACAGCGATGGCGGAGTCGAGTGCACCCTCAGCAATTTGCTGACGACACCAAGCTGAGCGGTGCGGTCAACACGGTAGAAGGAAGGGATGTCATTCAGAGGGACCTCGAGAGTCTGGAAAGGTGGGCCCGGGTGAACCTGATGAGGTTCAACACAGCAAAGTGCAGAGTTTTGCACCTGGGCCGGAGGAATCCTAGGCATCCATACAGACTGGGAGGAGAGCAGCCTTGTGGAGAGGAATCTGGGGGTCCTGATGGATGAAAAACTGAACATGAGCCAGCAGAATGCATTGCATCTCGGAAAAGCAAATGAAGTATGAAGAGGGGTGGCCAGCAGGGACAGGGAGGTGATTTTCCCCCTCTACTCTGCTCCTGTGAGGCCCCATCTGCAGCACTGTGTCCAAGTGTGGAGCCCCAGTACAAAAAAGACAGAGAGCTGTTGGAGAGGGTCCAGAGGAGCCACAAAGATGATCAGGGGGCTGCAGCACTTCCCCTATGAAGACAGGCTGAGGGAGCTGGGCTTGTTCAACCTGGAGAAAAGAAGGCTGTGGGGTGACCTCATTGCAGCCTTCAGTACCTAAAGGGAGCCTGCAAACAAGGAGGGGAGTCAACTCTTGGAAAGGGGAGATAACAGCAGAACAAGGAGAAATGGATTTAAGTTGAGGGAGGGAAGATTTAGGTTGGATGTCAGGGGGAAGTTCTTTACAGAGAGTGGTGAGGTGCTGGAACAGCTGCCCAGAGAGGTTGTGGATGCCCCGTCCATCCCTGGAGATGTTCAAGGCCAGGTTGGATGGGGCCCTGGGCAGCCTGGGCTGGTATGAAATGTGGAGGTTGGTGGCCCTGCATGTGGCAGGGGGCTTGGAGATTCATGATCCTTGAGGTCCTTTCCAACCCTGGCCATTCTGTGATTCTGTGATTCTGTGAACTGCAGACTGCACTGCTGGCACAAACTTTGATCACAAGCACAAACACAGAGGCCACAAATTGAGTAAATGTGTGGGTTTGTATAACGTGGGTGGTGGAACTGCACTATGTAAGCCTCTGTGCTCTTAAATTATGCCAGAATAAAGCAATTGACAGACACACAAGTATGTAGAAAGTGCTGTCTTTTGTACCTTCCAGGTACCACTTGGCTCCTGAGCACAGTTTCCCAACCCAGAGCTTGGACTGTGTCACTGCCACCATCCACTTTTTGAAGACTGCCAAGAACTACGGCGTGGATCCCGATCGGATCATTGTATGTGGGGACAGTGCAGGGGGCACTTTTGCAACAACTGCTTGCCAAGAACTTGTGAACAGAACAGACATCCCGAAGATACGTGCCCAGATCTTGATCTATCCATTCCTCCAAAGCTTGAACTTCAACCTGCCGTCTCACCAGAAGAATGCTTCCATTGGCTTGCTGTCCCTGGAACGGATGGTCTGTTCCATTCTGATGTACCTGAGAAAGGATTGCTCTTTGATGGAAGCTGTCTTGGCAGGTTCTCACGTTCCTGAGAGCATGAATTTGAAATATGGGAAATGGATAGATCCAGATCTTATCCCAGAGAAATTTAAACAGGACTACAAGCCACCATTACCCGCCTCATACATACCCCAGGTCCATGAGGAAACGAAAGAAATGTTTGAGACAAGGTTTTCACCACTCTTAGCAGAAGATGCTGTTGTTGGCTGCCTACCTGACACCTGTATTATCACCTGTGAGCATGATGTGCTCAGGGATGATGGGCTGCTGTACAAGAAGCGGCTGGAAGACAACAATATCAAGGTGACCTGGCACCACATTGAAGATGGCTTCCATGGTGTGCTGTGCTTTTTGGGTTATGGCATTTTCTCTTTTCCCTCAGCAAGTAAGATAATGGATCACATTGTAAACTTTATAAAAGGCTGTTAAAAATGTCTCCTTCTATACACTGAACTACTATGCAGAGCGAGTGCGTTTCAGTTAATCACTCAGTATCAAGAAGTAATAACTTGTGATAGTGCAATCTGCTGACTTCTGGCTTTCAGTTGCTCCTCTTGGAAGCACGATGTGGTTTCTTTCTGTTTTTATCCATTAACTAACATTTTATCCTTGTTTTGCTTCTCTTTTTCTGTTTTAAGAATTTGTGTTCTCTTCTTTTGTCAAAGAACGAAAGCTCATGATTTATACAGAAAAACACACTTTAAACCCTGGAATACATAAATGACCATAAATGCACGCACATGGATCACACACACAAAAGCAGTATGAGAATATAGATAAAATGAAAGCCTCTGGAGGGTAAAGATTCGCTCCCAGTCCCTGAAACGAGCAGTGATTACCTCTGATTTATAGGCATATTCAGCCCATGGGTTTGGACTTGGCTGTAAAACCTGATGGGGGAATGGAGTGTACTTGCAGATCTTAGCTTACAGCACAGTGGGTGGCACAGAAGGGAGTAACAGAAGTCAAAGCTGTTGGAGCTTTCCATGTAAGTCTCTGAGAGTGGCAACGTGGAAGGGTCTTTTGGCCTTTCAGGGCCCCTTCCAACACAAACAATGCTAGAGCTCAATGATCCCAAGTGGAACCTGACAAACATCACTGAATGTCCTCTAAGCTGTAATCTGTGAAGCTCCTTTCTGAGGGGCATTTGCTTCTATTCAGGGAGACAGACATAGCATTTTTCTTAACTAATAATGCAGTTATTAGATGAGAACTTGAGGGTAAATTCAGAAACAGCACTAAAACGGCAAGAATACCTTCTGCTAACGCCCAAAGCAAAGGAAAAATAATAACCATAGAATCCTTTGAATTGCAACATGAGCATAGATTTGTTTTTTAGGACAGATCCACATTTATAAACGCAGATGCCTGGCTGAGTGCCAGAGCATGTCAAAAGAGCTGGTCATGCAATGCCTAAGAATTGTAAAACATTTCATCATTCTTATGCAATCACTTTGCTCTTGTAATAGCCATGCAGATAAAAGTGTGGAAAGAAGGCAGGATGCTATCTTTCTTTTCCATCAGCTGAACTGTGAGTAGGAAGAAAATGCTGGGTTAAATTCTTCACACTGTCACTATATTAATTAAATGTGGTGACACAGTAGCACTTAGAAACCTCTGGAGCAACCAGTAGTTACTTGTGAATTCTTGTGTTCTCTGCAAAACGAAATGGTGTTTCTTTGTGCTCCATGGACACAATAGGAATTTGGTTTCATTTTTCCTGTTGCTGGTGTTAGTAATTTACTCTTCAAGCAACGAAAAATTCTCCCAGGAGTAAACAATGCGATGAAGCTTACAAAGTTGTGCTGATTGAGGATTACAGGATTTGTTTTGATAATAGGACTTAGTGTGAAATTGGCAAGTCATTTTGGTTTCTGACCTGACTATGAAGGCTGGCTCACCAGTTGATGTGTTGGTAGAAGCTGGGCCAGAAGTGCACCAGATTTGCTACAAAAGCAGTGCAAAATGCTGGCTTGCATGGAGCAGTTAATCCATGGCAATGTCTGCTCTGCCACAGCAGTATTGCTACCTGCACAAGAACACTCACAGTTATCTTGGGTATGTCTGTATGAACTTCAGTCAAACCTGGCAGTCATCGGCTTATCTTTATTCAGGATCAATTTATTACACGCATGGCATCTTCACAACTGTCCTTTTATTGATTCCCAAATGTGGTTTCTAAAGTTTCTGGAATGGAAGTCCTTCCTCCTGTCTGAAGCAAGAGAATTTGGTAACCAAAGTGACCTGAAGCAAAAGTTCAAAGGCCTCAACAACACTGCATGTGACACATTGCTCACTGGCACCCAGCCTCTCTAAACAGCTGCCTTTGCAACTGAGCATTACGGGCACTCATTTCTGTCATCCTGCACACAGCACAAAACTAAGAAACAAGCACACACACAAAGATTCAAGAAATCAATAGAAGAGCCTCCAAATATAACTTTCTGTGTATGTTTCTCAAATCTCCCCAAACCCCCAGAAGACCACTGAGTCCACTCAGGCTGTGGCCAGCTCTTGTAAGGTTACCTTACCTCATTCTCCTAAGTAAACTTGATGATAGGTTTCCCCATCTGATTACCTCACTTAAAATAATAGTTTTCCTTCACAAAATCCGAGATTCTTATTATCATCACTGAACTTCTGCACATTTTTTGTCTTAAGTTTTCCACTTGGTTTTTCTCCACTGCTTGATCAGCGTGCTGATGGGACCAAATGTGGCAAAGAGTGGATAGAGGAGAATGTTCTGTATTTCTTGGTAAGCAAATAGCACCAATAAAGCTTTTGAACAACGGTGTTGACTAACAAGTGCAGCCTTGTAATGTTGGCTTGTAATGTTCTTAATCCTTTTCACCATTCTACTATTTTGAAATGACCACATGACTGATAATTAACTTTTGCAATGTTTTGTTTTGTTTTTTTTGGTTGTTGTTGGTTTGTTTGTTTGTTTGTTTTTGCCATGTTAAATATCACATCAGCATCTTTGTGGTTCTTAGAAAAGCCTCTCGAATATGCCAATATGCAATGCTCTAAAATGTTTTCTCTGCTGCTTCCCCACCTCCCAGGCAATGATTGCACTGAGCAAAGACTTCTGTGAGCTGTCACAACCCTCTACTCAAACAATGTGTTCCTTGTTAGAGAGCCTCTTACCCCATCCCACATTGTTGTTCAGCACAGTCCTCTTCATTTTGAAATCCACTCCTCTGCTTGGTCACCAAGGCTGTTTTGTTACCCTTTGAACACTTTGCAGGTTCTACAAAGAGCTAAAGATGCCCCTACAATTCTACCTTGTGCATTACACGTTATGAGATGACCACCTCATCCAATGCAGTGTGTTATGCTTCAGGTCAGTTCAGCAGTCCACACATATTTTCACTGTTCATCATCTGGACCATTATCATTTATGGACCACTGTTCAAACTGCACTGGTCCACTATTGAGATTTTTTCCATAGTCTTTACCTGCAGGTCTTGATTTAATACAAATATTAATTGGTTTATAATGCCTGCATATTATTAGCCATATTGAACACATGCATTTTAATCTGTATTGGGAATTACAGTCATAGTGGTGCAGACAGGTAACTGGAGAAGAGCAAGTACAGAAACAATGTACTTTTCAGTACATTTTCCTTTTTCAGTAGTGACTCCAATATTCTCTAAAATCTAGAAAGCAGAATGACCTCATTGCGTCCAGGGAACTTCCTGTCCTCTAATTTGATTAATTATAGATCTACCTTACATTCTTAAGCTAGACTGCTTGTTCATACAAATACCTGATCTGTTCACATGAGCTCACTCATATAAATGACATATGATAATTTCCACAGCTTTGGAAATTTTAATTCGTTTAAATATTTTTTTTTTATTTTCTAGAGAAAGGCACAGCAAAATTGTTCCTATCCTCTTTATTCATACACTTTCTGACAGCATGCCCCTTCCACCATCCACATCTTCAAGAACTTAAACACAAGTGCAAACTTGCAATGTGCCTACAGTTATGCACACGAATGCCTTTGGAGGCTTGGAGTCATGGCAAGAAGTCATGCATGCAAAGAAATACTGATGGATACAAGTAGGCACACACAAATCTGAGCTTGTCAGCACCTCGTATCCAAGCTTACAGCCAATGGCAGTAGGCGCTGCTGAGTTTCACTTGGCTCGTTCAGCTTTCCATTTCAGCTTTCCAGCACCAGATGGCCCTCATGCTCCACAGACCTCAAGGAGCACCTTCAGCAGGAGCCCTTTCCCAGCACCTGAGCAGAGGCATCGCCTCCCACCTGGTGTGTCATGGAATCACAGAACCATTAAGGCTGGAAAGACCACTAAGGTCATCAAGTCCAACCATCTACCCATGCCTGTGACTGCTCTAGACCACGTCCTTCAGCACCTCCACAGACAGTGACTCCACCACCTTCCTTGGCCAGCAACAAAGGCCACAAAGATCACCAAATACAACCATTAATTCATCCCCACCATGCCCTCTAACCGTGCCCCCATGTTTACCTGGTGGAAAACACCCCAGTTGTGGTGGTGTTCTGTTCTTCTGGTTTTTCCTCCATGCTTCTTATCAGTGCTTATCAGTGCTTCAAGCATCAAGTATTACTCTGTGTACCTCTGTGTACCCAAGAAAAACCATTTCCTAACTGCCCTATGTACCTAACCAGTTTGTTTCTTTTCCTGCTGCTTTCCAGACTTCAGCACAGAGCTTTCACGTGGAAGCTCTAACAGTGATGTTGGGTTGTTGGCAGGCTGCTGTGATGTGCAGACCCAGTTAACACATCCAAAAGAGTCACAGAAATCACAGAAACACCAAGGTTGGAAAACACCTACAGGATCATCCACCCCAACCATCCACCCATCACCAATAGTTCTCACTAAACCGTGTCCCTCAACACAAAATCCAAACGTTCCTTCAGCACCTCCAGGCTCAGTGACTCCATCACCTCCCTGTGCAGCCCATTCCAGTGCCTGACCACTCTTTCAGACAAGCAGTATTTCATAACATCCAGCCTAAATCTCCCCTGGTGCAGCATGAAGCCTCTGGTTCTATCACTGTTACACAAGAGAAGAGGCAGAACCCCAGCTCCCCACAACCTCTCTTCAGGTGGTTATAGAGAGCAATAAGGTCTCCCCTGAGCCTCCTCTTCTCCAAACTGAACAATCCCAGCTCCTTCAGTTGCTGCTCATCAGCCCTGTGCTCCAGACCCCTCACCAGCTCTGTTGCCCTTCTTTCAACCCGCTCCAGAGCCTCCATGTCTTTCTTGCAGTGAGGGGTCCAAGACTTACAGCTCTTGGTAAAGTGACTTCCTAAGGACAGGCACCAAAGCAGGTTGAAACCAGCTGAACAGTGGTGGTAAGAACCTCAGAACAATGGTTCTGTCACAGGTGCTGCCACAGGGGCCACATCTGATGGGCACGGTTAGGCCACAC